CATTGCCTTACAATTTTTTGAGTGCAGGTCTTTTACATCCTTGGTTAGGTTTATTCCTAGGTATTTTATTCTTTTTGTAGCAATTGTGAATGGGATTATTTTCTTAATTTCCCTTTCTGTTAATTTGTTATTGGCATATAAAAGCACAAGTGATTTCTGGATATTAATTTTGTATCCTGCTACTTTGCTGAATTCATTTATCAGTTCTAGTAGTTTCTTGGTGGAATCTTTGGGATTTTCTATGTACAGTATCTTGTCATCTGCAAATAAAGACAGTTTTAATTCTTTCCTTTCAGTTTGGATGCCTTTTATTTCTTCTTGCCTGGTTGTTGTGGCTAGTACTATGCATTCGAGTATTATGTTGAGTAAGAGAGGTAAAAGTGGAATCCCTGTCTTATTCCCAATTTTAAGGGGTTATAGTTTTTGCTCATTGAATGTGATGCTGGCAGTGGGCTTGTCATATATGGCTTTTATTATGTTTAGGTATGTTCCTGCTAATACCACTTCGCTGAGCGTTTTAATCATAAATGGGTGCTAGATTTTATCAAATGCTTTTTCTGCATCTATTGATACGATTATGTCATTTTTATCCTTCATTTTGTTTATGTGGTGAATCACATTTATTGATTTGCAAATTCTGTACTAACCTAGCATTTCTGGAATAAATCCCACTTGATCATGGTGTATGATCTTTTTGGTGCATTGCTATGTTCACTTTGCTAATGTTTTATTGAGGGTTTTAGTGTCTATGTTTATCAGGGATATTGGCCTATAATTTTATTTCTTGTGTCTTATCTGGTTTTGGAATTAGAATAATGCTGGCGTCCTGAAGTGAGTTTTGGAGTCTTCCTTCTTCTTGAATTTTTTGGAATATTTTCAGAAGGAGAGGTGTTAGTTGTTCTTGAATGTTTCATAAAATTCACCTGTGAAGCCATCAGGTCCAGGACTTTTGTTTGTTGGCAGTTTTTTGATTACTGCTTCAATGTCATTAGATGTAATCTGTCTATTCAGATTCTCTGATTCATCTATGAATTAATTTTAGAAGATTGTATGTTTCTAGAAATTTACCCATTTTGTCAGGTTGTCTAGGTTGTTGGCATATAGTTGTTCATAATATTTTCTTACAGTCCTTTGCATATTTTTGGTGTCAGTTGTTACTTCTCTTTCATTTCTGATTTTATGTATTTGATTCCTTTCTTTTTTTTCTTGATGAGTCTAGTAAAGGGTTTGTCAATCTTGTTTATCTTTTCAAAGAACCAGCTCTTGGATTCATTGATCTTTTATATTGCTTTTTTATACTCTATTTCATTTATTTCTGCCCTGATCTTTATTATTTCCTTCTAATCACTTTGAGCTTTGTTTATTGTTCTTTTTCATGTTCTTTTAAGTGTGAAGTTAGATTGTTGATATGAACTTTTTCTTGTTTTTTGAAATAGGCCTGTAATGTTAGGAATTTCCCTTTTAGGATTGCTTTCTAAGTGTTCCACAGATTTTGGATTGTTGTGTCCTCATTTTCGTTTGTTTCAAGGTGTCTTGATTTCTTTCTCGATCTCGTTGTTTGACCCATTCACAGTTTAATAACATGTACTTTAGCTTCCATGTCTTTGTGTGTTTTTCAGTGTTCTTGTAATTGATTTCTAGTTTCATAGCATTGTAGTCACAGAAGATGCTTGATGTGATTTCAGTCTTCTTAAATTTATTGAGACCTATTTTGTGTCCCAGCATGTGGTGCATCCTAGAAAACATTCCGTGTGCACTTGAAAAGTATGTATATTTTGCTGCTTTGGGGTGAAATGTTCTAAAGATATCAATTAAATACATCTGATCTAGTGTGTCGTTTAAGGCCACTTCATCCTTGTTGATTTTCTGCCTGGAAGATCTATTCATTGAAATCAGTGGGGTTTTACAATCCTGACTATGACCATATGTCTGTAAATCTCTTCCTTTATGTCTATCAAGATTTGCTTCATATGTTTAGGTGCTCCTATGTTGGATGTGGATGTTGTTAGTAAATTTTACTAGGGTTATATCCTCTTGTTTGATTGTTCCCTTTATCATTAGGTAGTGCCCTTATTTGTCTATTACTATTGCCTTGGTTTTAAAGTCTGTTTTGTTGGATATAAGTACTGCTAGTTCAGTATTTTTTTTCCTTTCCATTTGTATGAAATGTCTTTTTCCATCCCTTTACTTTTAGTTTGTGTGTATCTTTTGATCTGAGATGGGTCTCATGGAGGCAGTATGTATATGGGTCTTGTGTTCTTCTTCATTCAGCTATCCTGTGTCTTTTGGTTGGAGCATTTAAGCCATTTATATTTAAGGTGATTATTGATAGATACATATTTAGTGCCATTTTATTGTTAGACTAGTTTCCTCCCCCCATTACTCCCCCCCCCCCCCCCACTTCTTCTTTCTCCCTTTAACATTGCAATACTAGTTTGGTGTTAACAAACTCCTTTAGCTTTTTCTTGTCTGGGAAGCTCCTTATTTTTTCTTAGATTTTAAATAATAGCCTTGCTGGGTAAAGTAGTCTTACTTGCAAGTTTTTGCTTTTCATCACCTTGAATATTTCAGACTACTTCTTTCTGGCCTGAAATGTGTCTGTTGAGAAATCAGATGACAGTCTTAATTGGTGCTCTCTTGTATATAACTACCTGTTTTTCTCTTGAAGCTTTTAGGATTCTCTCCTTGTCTTTAAGCCTTGTCATTTTAATTATGGTGTGTCCCAGTGTAGGCCTCTTTGGGTCCAACTTGTTTGGGACTCTCTGAGCTTCCTGGACTTGAGTGTCCTTTTCTTACACCAGATTAGTGAAGTTTTCAGTCATTATATCTTCACACAGGTTCTTGATCCCTTGCTTGCTCTCCTTTCCTTCTGGTACTCCCATGATGTGGATGTCGTTATGCTTCATGTTGTCCAAAATGTTTTTTAAGCTCTCCTCATTTTTAAAAATTCTTTTTTCTTTTTGCTGCTCTGCCTGTTTTTTTTATTTTCTTCCTTGTCTTTCAAATCACTGATTCAGTCTTCTGCTATATCTAATCTGTTATTTATTCCTTCCAGTGTATTATTAATTTCATTTAAAAAAAAAAAGATTTTTATTATATTTAGAGAAATGGAGGGAGAAAAAAAGGTAGAGAAACATCAGTGTGTGGTTACCTCTTGCACACCCCCAGTTGGGGACCTGACCCGCAACCCAGGCATATGCCCTGACTGGGAACCAAACTGGTGGTGACCCTTTGGTTAGCAGGCTGGTGCTCAACCTACTGAGCCATACCAACCAGGGCCATTACTTATTTCATATATTGCATTTTTTTATTTCTGACTTTTTTTTTATGGTTTCTATGTCTTTTTTCATGCTGTTGAATATCCTTATAATCATTACTCTGAACTCTCAATCTGATAAGTTGCTTGCCTCCATTTCATCTAGTTCTTCTGGGGAATCCTCATGTTCTTTCATTTGGGGTCTGTTTCTTTGTATTTTTTACCTTAGTTGTTAAACTGATTAGTGATATAGCCTCAAGCTATAATCAGCAGCCTGACTTAAGCTCCACAGGGTAGGACAGAGTCATTCCTGCAGGCTGGGCTCTTGCTTCCCCTCAGGCTGATGCCACTTGGAGAGGAGTGCTTTGCCTGACAAAGATGGCTTCTGCTGTATAGGGAATGACTCAGCACAGGGATCCTGGTGGCTGTTCCTTCAGTTTTTTCCCTGGAAACGCCAACCCCAGACTCCCTCCAAGCATCTATAGTACATTCTGCCCTCTCTCTGCCATAGCCCAGGGTAAGTGGCTACAAACCAAATTTTGTACACTGGCCCTTTTAGAGGCTCTTTTGAGTCTCCAGCTGTCTCCTGGCAAGACAGAAACCCAGCTGCTTTTTACAACTGAAATGGTATCTGGGTTCCTTTTCAGGTCTGCTACTGTAGGCTGGGGAGTCCAGCTGGAGGTTTAGACCCCTCACTTCTTAGGTGGAACCCCCTAGCTGTTGAAATATTCCTTCAGAACTTCAGCTGCTGCCCATGGGAGCCCAGCTAGCCCTCTTACACCTCCTCCACACTCCCGACCAGTCTCGTTGTGCTGAAGTGGTTTCTTCTGTCTGTCCATGATTATAAAGTGTCTCTCTAGCTAGTTTTCAGTTGGTTATTCAGGATGATGTCCCTACAGTTTAGTTGTAATTCCAGATTGGTCCAGGAAGGAGGTTAATGTAGCTTCCACTTACTCCTCTACCATCTTGGATCTTTTGATGTTATAGTTCTGTGGCAAATAGCCTTGAGTATTGAGGAGAGGGTAATAACTATATAGAATGTGGTAATGTCATCTTTGAGGGTCCTTTCTATAACAAGCACTTGGAATCAGAAGAGTATCCTATGCAATGCATTATTAAAACTTACCTGTTAACGTCTCATTTTCTTTATATTCTGGGTGACTACTAATGACTTTAGTTGTGGTGTATGCCTTTCCTATTTAAAATAAAAGGGCTCTTTTAGTAAATTGTAGCTTATAAAACCTCTGAAATGGTACAGTTTAAACAAACAAAGGAGGTGAAGGGAAGAATATATATACCAGACTGAGGAATGAGCTTAGTCACTGTAATAAGGCCACATTTTATCTTCGAGTGTTTTCATGTGTAAGTCAAGGAATAAAATGCTGGATTTTCTAGAGTTCATTTCAGTAGGGACTGTTGTTCCATTTCATTTTGAGAGATTTGTGAAGACATCAGAATTGTTTTATATTTAAAATGTTATTAAAGTCTGATTTTTTATAAAGTTTAAGGTAATATTTACAGTTTAATGATATGTCGTTTGCTTTTTTGTATTTGTATACCTATTTTATAGTATCTGGGAAGTAGTGCTAATTAAATTTTTTTTTACTTTAATCTTTACCTTGGCCCACTTAAACTATTTCTAATATTTGCATCCAGTCCCCAAAAGCCCAAGCACAGATTTTTATATTAAAACATACTTAGTTTAATTCAAACATAGTTCATGATGTATTTTTTTCAATTACAGAATCATTTAATCTTGACAACAGCCCTGTGATTTAGAGATGGTATTATCCCCATTTTTCTGGTAGGAAACTGGGACCTCAAGAGGTTGTATAACTAAAACAGTATCATAAAGTAAGTATTAAGCTAGGAAATCAAGCCCAAGTATCCCTACACTTAATAAAATCTTCGTTATACCAATTATGCTGTTTTTACATGGGGATTAACTTGCCTGATTAGGGACTGAAGAAGATAATGTTGCAGTTTTTCATGTGTAATTTACGATAATAGCCATTTCTTTGTTCATTTTATTGAACAGATATTTAAGTATTTGCTGTGTGTCAGGTACTATTTTGGGTTCTGGGTTTCAACAACACAAAATCCCTGCTCACATGGACTTTATAGTCTAGACAAGAACATGAAAACCCATAAACTATGGAGTAAATTACTTAGTGTGTCAGGAGGTGATATATTCTGTAGGAGGAGAAAATGACTTGGATAGGTAGAACAGATTGTAAAATTGCCAAGAAATCAAATAGAATAAAGGTCTCTAAGGCTAGAGCATGCAGGAATCATAAGGAAGTAAGGTGCCTGAGTAGGGGAGGAGGATAGAAGGAAATAGAAATAAGATCAGGAAGTTGTGAGCAGGGGAAGCACATGATACTAGGTCTGTTAGGTCATCGTGTGGAATCAGGCTTTTACTCAATAAAAAGGGAAGCCTTTTATGGGTTTTCAGTATTTTAAAAAGAGTCATCCTGGTTGTGTTAAGAATAGATACTGAGGCTAGGCAAGGGTAGAATGTTAGGTTATTGCAGTAATCTAGGAGATTTACATAATCTAGGCGTGATGTAGGAAAAAGATGGCTGTCAGAGGCAGCTCTGAACACATTAGTGGTAGAGGTAATGAGAAATGTTGGATTCTGGATATGTTTTGCAAACAGAAAGAACAAAATTTGCTTTCAGGTTGGAAGGGAAATATAAAAGAAAGGAGTCAAGGAGTATTTGAAAGTTTTAGCCCTAGCATCTGAAAGGTTGGAGTTGCCATCAACTGAGATAGTTTATAGAGAAGATGAGGAGTTCAGTTTTGGATATGTTAAGTTTGGTATATCTTGAAATACCCAAATAAAGTTGTTTAGAGTTGAGGAGTGAAGTCTGGGATAGAAATGCAAAGTTGGAACTCTTTGTTATATAGATGCTATTTAAAGCCACACCACTGGATGATATTTTTGAGGAAATGAGTATCAAGAAATACAAGGGAACCAATAATTGATCCCTAGATTACTCCAACATTAAAAGAATGGAGAGAAGAGAAAGAATTGTTAGAAGAGAGTAAGAAGGAACAATCATTGAGGTACAACATAAACTTAGAGAAGGTGCCTTGGAAACTCAAGGGAAGAAGGTAAACCTTGGGAAGAGGAATAATCAACTATGTCCAATTTTGTTGCCAATAGATTAGGCAGGATGACTACTAGAATTGAAAATTATATTTAGCAATGTTGAAGGCCACTGGCAGTTTTGTGGCCTTCAGTGGGATGTGGAAATGGCCTGGTTAGCACTATTTATATATTTTTTAAATGGGAATTTTTGATGTTTATAAGTATTTTCTTTGCAATGTTCAGGTTTGCCATCCTATTGGTGGTATGTCTGACAGTGGATCACAACCTGGTTCAATGGGTAGCCTGACCATGAAATCACAACTTCAGATCACTGGTAAGTCTTTAAAAAGACCTACTTTTTTGCCTTCAACATAAAAAACAATCTTAAGAGAAGAAAATCTTTAGTGACTGCTTCATATCAAGTGCTAAATTAATATTTGCATTATGAATGAACAAATAAAATGTGTACATGTGTAAAAATCACATTTTTATTTCAAGGTATTCTCGAGTAGTGTATATTAGTATTTCATTTCTTTTTATTGCCAAATAATATTTCATGTGTGGACATACCACATTTTATTTATACATTTGTCAGTTGATAGATGTTTCGGTTGTTTCCACTTTTTGGTTATTATAAATAATGCTATGAACATTTATGTACAAGTTTTTGTGAAAATTGTATGTTCTTAGTTCTCTTTTGAGTATATACCTAGGAGTGGAATCACTGGATCATATAATACCCATTATTTAGCATTGTGAAGAATCCCAAATTTTCAAAGCATCTCACATCATTCAACATTCTTACCAGCTTTGTATGAAGGTTTCAGTTTCTCCACATCTTTGCCTATATCTGTTGTTTGCTTTTTGATTATAGACATCCTTGTGAGTATAAAGTGGTATCTTGTGTGGGTGTGATTTGCCCTTTTCTGGTGGTAATGATGTTGAGCATCTTTTCCATATGTTGTTGGCCATTTTTATATCTTTTTTGAAGAAATATCTGTTTAAATGCTTTGGTTGCTATTTTTATTTAACTAATATATCTGTCTTTGTTTCTTCCTCTAATCTATTAACCAAGTATAGTACTTTCAGATTAATGTTCTTAACATGCCACCTGATGTTGCATGCCTGCTCAGAAAACCTCAGAGCTTTTCCTTTCCTATGGTATAGAATTTCTTTAGCTTGCACTAAGTTATTGGTCTGGCTCCATATGATCTCTTTGTAGTTCTTTATACATATGAATTATTTGTACTAGTCAAGGTGAATCACTGGATTTTCTTCAGACATGCATGTGTCTCTATCACACAGCAAAATCCCAGTCTCTCCCTTTTAAAGTTAATAGCATTTATTGTTCATAGAACAGTTATCATCTTCTGTATGTTATTTTAGTTTCTACCATACTCACCTATGTATTATGAATTATTAAACTAAAAAATTAGTCTTATTGTCATCCTCAAAAGCTAAAAGTGATTGAAGTATATAAAGTATCACTTCTTAAGGTAACAGGATCTTATGATTTATTTTTGGGAATTCCTTCACTAACTAGAGTCTGTTTCCTAAGAAATGTCTGATTTCCTAAAAAAGATATGTGTGTGTGTGTGTGTGTGTGTGTGTGTTTTGTTTGTTTTTTTGCTGAAGTCAGTTTCTAATTGTTTCCTCTCTTCCCATCCTGAAGTTAGACTGAGTACCTGATTAAATTGGGCCAGGATTCTTATGGCTTTTCTTTTTGAGAGGAAAGCTTAATATTGAGATCTTTAATTGGAACAATCTTTTAAAAAATTCTTTGATTTTCAGATTAGACAAGTATTGGGTTGGCCAAAAAGTTCGTTTATTTTTTTCCATGAAATAAAAGACATTATTCATTTTCACCAGTAACTTTATTGATTTGGATATTTTGAGTATGTCTACTATCTCCTTCTATTGGCTTCTAGTTTGCAGAGGCCAGGGGTGCTGCTAAATGTCTACCAATACACAGGACAACCTCACAGCAAAGAATTATTTGGCCAAAATGTTAGTAATACCAGGAAACTTCACAAACCACCTTTGAGCACTCAGTCAGTCACAGCACCTTCTCCATATAGCACACAAATCATTTTTTGCATTTCAGTTATGTTTTTACCTTTCTTGAAATAATAAAGTATAATATGCTGAAAATGTTGAATATTTTCTTCCATCTTCAGTATGAAAATGGCTACACAAAAATTCACCGATTTTGATGTTTCTTAAAAAATGCACACTGATAAGACAGCTGTCACAATACAACCTAACAATTGTTTTGAAAGAAGTTAAAGACAAGTAAACACTACCAGAACCATCGTGTGGAAAAAAACTAAATAAACTTTTTGGCCAACCCAATAGTATACATTAGTATACATGCTTTTTATTTTTATTTTTATTTATTTATTTATTTATTTACTTACTTACTTACTTATTTATTTAAATCCTCACCCGAGGACATGTTCATTGCTTTTGGAGAAAGAGGAAGGGAGAGAGAGTGAGAGAGAGAAACATCAATCGGTTGCCTCCCCTGCACACCCCAACTGGGGACTGAATCCTCAACCTAGGTATGTGCCCTGACCAGGGATTGAACCTGCAACCTTTTGGTGTATGGGATGGTGCTCCAGCCAACTGAGCCACCAGGCCAGGGCTACATGCTTTTTATTTTAAACACTCAGTAAAATAATGAAGTGAGGAATTCTAATATATCATTTCAGTCTTCAAAGACAAATATTGTTATATTCATTTAAATTTAGGTTTATCTTCCTTTATTTTTTTTTTTTTAATTTACTTTTTAGAGAGAGGGGAAGGGAGGGAGAAAGAGAGGGAAAGAAACATCAATATGTGGTTGCCTCTCAAGTGCCCCTTACTGGGGAGCTGGCCTACAACCCAGGTGTGTTCCCTGATTGGGAATCGAACTGGCAACCCTTTGGTTCGCAGGCTGGCACTCAATCCACTGAACCACACCAACCAGGGCCCTTTCTTTTTTAAAATTATATTTTATTGATTATGCTATTACAGTTGTCCTAGTTTTTCCCTCTTTGTCCCCCTCTACCCAGCATCCCCTACTCCCTCAGGGAATCCACACACCATTGTTCTTGTTCATGGGTCATGTGTATAGGTTATTTGGCAGATGCATTTCGCAGTATACATCTCCTATACTGTACTTCCATAGCCATTCTGTAACTTCCTATTTGTACTTCTTAATCTTCTCACCTCTTTACCCATTCTCCCTTCCATCTGGCAACCATCAAAACACTCTCTGTATCAATGTTTCTGTCTCTTGTTCTTCTTGTTTGCTTAGTTTGTTTTTTGATAGAAATGTATTTGTTGACATTTTATTGTTCATAGGTTTGATCTTCTTTTTCTTAAATAAGTCCCTTTAACATTTCATAAAATAATGCATTGATAATGATGAACTCCTTTGCTTTTTCTTGTCTGGGAAGCTCTTTATCTGCCTTTTGGTTCTAAATGATATCTTTGCTGGGTAGAGCAATCTTGTCTATTGGACCCTCATTTCATGATTTTGTGTATTTCTTGCCAATCCCTTCTAGTCTGCAAGTTTCTTTTGAGAAATAAACTGAAAAACTTATTGGACTGCCCCTATAGGTAACTGCTTTTCTCTTGTTGCTTTTAATATTCTCTTTATCTTTAGCATTTTAATTATGATGTGTCTTGGAGTGGGCCTCTTTGTGTCCATCTTGTTTGGGGTTCTCTCTGGTACTTGGACTTGCTTGTCTATTTCCTTCACCAAATTAGGGAAGTTTTCTTTCATTATGTTTTCAACTAGATTTCCAAATTTCTTGCTCTTTCTTTTCTACATCTGGCACCCCTGTGATGCTAATGTTGTAACATTTGAAGTTGTCCCAGAGGCTGCTTACACTCTTCATTTTTTTGGATTCTTTTTTCTTCTTCTTGTTCTGCGTGGTTATTTTTTGCTTCCTTATGTTCCAAATCATTGATCTGATTCTTGGCCTCATCTACTCTATTGCTGTTTCCCTGTAAATTGTACTTTATTCCAATTAGTGTATCCTTTGTTTCTGGCTGGATGTTTTTTATACTGTGAGGTCCTCACTAAGTTCCTTGAGTATCCCTGTAACCAGTGTTTTGATCTCTGCACCAGTGTTCTTTTTCTGGAGTTTTGCTCTGTTCTTTCATTTGGGCCATGTTTCTTTGTCTCCTTGTTTTCGCAACCTCCCAGTGTTCATTTGTTTGTATGTATTAGATAGAGCTGCTGTGACTCCCTGTCTTGGTAGTGTGACTTGTAGAGTCCAGTTGCATAGCCTCCCCTATCACCCAAGCTGGATACTGGAGGTGCACTCTTCATGTGGGCTGAGTACACCCTCCTACTGTAAGGGAGCCTTGATTGCTGTTGGCAGGTCAATGGGAGGGATTTATCCAGGCCAGTCAGCTGCAAGGACTGATTGTAACCACTGTCCACCAGCCTCCGCCCTCTGTGGAGGATCAGCTGTGCAGGGGCAGGGTGGTTATACTCTGACATGGTCTGTAGCTGTCGACTGGGTGCTCATCCTCTGGGTTTTCCCTGGGTGGTACAGGCCAGCGTCAGCCTCACCTGTGTTTTGCCTGGGGCCACCCTGCCTGAGCTAAAAAGCAGCCTGAGATGGCTGCTACTTGTGCTGAACTTGGAGATTCCCAGTTGAAGATAAGCCAAGAGTCTAGTTTGTCTGCTGTTAGTGCCTGCCTGGGCCACTTAGCAAGAGGTATGGGGTTGGTGATTCAGGTGAGGCTGGCTGTTGCCTGTTTGAGAGGATTTAGGAAGTTGTGAAGCATGAGCCAAGACTAGCCATTATATGGAAAAGCAGCTTGAGTGGGCCCATAAATTGGGTGGAGTCTCTGGGAATCTCAAGCCTAGGGCAAACTCTTTGATGGAGTCTTTAGATTGGTGGCACCAGCCTGCTGTCTCTGTGGCCCTGCGGTGGGAGGGTTCAGGAAATGGATAATAGACTCTGCCTGCCTTTCTATCTGGGAGAAAACTGTTCCCCAGCTCTTGCCTTCATGCAAGACAGATCAAGCCTCCCCCGTATGCCACTGTTGCCTTTCAAACAGCTACTCTTGTGCTGGATCTCAGAAGGAGGAGTGAGTCTGAGTTAAGTCCGTGTGTGGGTTCTATGAGAGAAACTGCTTAGGACTCTAGAAGTTTCTTCCACCAACTTAGTCCCCCCTGTTTTTTGCAGCCCGAAGTTATGGGGACTACCCTCTATAGGGACTACTTTCCTGGCACTTGAACCCTTGGTTGGGGGTCTAGTATGTGGCTGAGACTCCTCGATTCCAAAATATCTCGCCCAAATTTTTATTCACCACTACCCGACCTGCACTTTC